TTGATACCTAAAGCCACATTTATGATATTTTACAATATATGCCCAATGTACATGATAGAATGATGCTAACTAGGCATAATTATGCTAATTGTGAAATTTTGGAATTTGGTGAATATGACGTTCTACTTGGACTTTTAATACAAAAAAATACACTAAGAATATTAGGAAATCCTCTTGATTGGAACTTTGGACACATCTAGAAATATTGTTGTTGAGAAGAAACAAATTAATATCCTTGCAAGGACTTTATATTGCCAAAATAACCTAGTGTTTTGGAGATTGTAGCATCTTTGTCAAGTTCTTCTAGTCAAGCTGGTAAAACTCACTAGTCTATTGGTATTTAGAAGTGCCCTTATAATAAAGTTGGTTGGGCTCACTAGTCCCTCAGGGGGTTTTTTCTAAAATTTAAGAGCACTCGATTCCTCATGGTTGTCAAGAGTGTATAATAGAAGTATATGATTTTTTAGTTTATGACTTTCTTCTAGCCAATTCACCAAATTCACCTAGGTGTTAGGACCAAACATTACACAATAAATAAAATATTAAACACATACCATCTACAAGATCTCTTCTAGTTATGAGGTCTATAGGCAAAACTTTAAGGATATAGTTGAAGTATGAAGAACAAAGAAGCAATTAAAAACACAAAGGCTTTGATTTTCTTACTGTCCCAAACATTTCAATCAGCAATGTTAATCTAACTTTTCTTTGATCTCTTGGGCAGTTTTCCACCATAAAGGATTAAAGGACAATAGTAATATTGATGGTAGAGGGAAAGAAAATAGGAAAAGTAAAGAATAATTGAGTAAGTGAGTGTTGTGATGGAAAATAATAAGTTTTAATCTTTAGGCAGCAGTGCTTCTTTGTATTCACTTATGTTGGTGTTGTTGGAGTTTTTGCTTCACATAAATATCCTATTTAAATACTATGATTTATTAAAAAATTAAAAAACTATATCATTAATCTAATTTTAAATCCATTTTTATTTATTTAAAATATAAATTTTTTATTACTTTTATTGTAACAATTTCTATAAAGTTTTTAACATTAATTGTTATATTAAGAATTTTAAAATATCATTATTTTAATATTTTTTAGATAAAATATATTTTATTATCAGCTAATACAATTGTAAAAAATTTAGTAGTTGTATACCAGTCTGGTGTTATACTTTAAGAATACCTTTATATTGTGTGTGTGTGTGTGTGTGTGTAACTAAATATATATTAAATTATAATATTTTCTCAAGAAACATAAAATAGTGAAACTAATAAAACTTTATTACCAATAAAAAGTTGCTTTAAATATTAGCATTCTTGATTTCATAGATTTTAAGAACCCATAAAAATATAAACTTGCAACATAATAACTAAATAAAGGAAAATGTCGTAAAGAGTAAAAAGAATCAATTAATAATCAAATTTCTACTTGGATTACAATTCTCAATTTAATCAGTATTTAGTAGGAACTTTTATTTATAATAACCAAACGAAGACAAGTGTTTCTACTTATCAATTTCCTATACAAGAGTATCTAAAAGAGTGCTTGTGTGTGGAGGCTGGTAAAATGTTGCAATGCTGATCTATCTATCAAACTGCAAGAAATTGCAGAGGTGAAGGGAAGTCTCTTGCCAATTGTTACAAGTGCGATGGCCTTTAGACTCTCATTCACGATTTGAAGCTTTCTTTGATGCTCACGTACAGCAATCTTACAAGTTTGATTGGTGGCGACGTGCAGAAATTTAGTTTTTTTCCCATACAATGGTAACAACTTTGACTGTCTGGAAGGAGGTGGGCAAGCCTTTTCATCCGCTTATGACCTTCTAGACCAAGTCAAATGGCTTTATACCATATGGAACAACTGGAGGTGCGTACATATTAGCTCCTGAGTTCTTGCTCTAACGTGGTGTCGTGGTGTCGTGTGCCTGGGTGCCTAGAAAGTCGAACACCTTCGCTATCACCATCGTTACCCCACAGTCCAGCAGGAGATTTAAGGCAAAGCGTCCTTTATCAACGTGCACGTCTTCAAAGGCTTTGGAATTCTTCTAGTCTCATGTGATTTTGCTTTTTCCCAGAACCACTGGAGGTTCTTGTTAATAGTATGACTCTCATCATTGTTTTTTCTTGTTTCGTTCTTTTTATTTCACAGGTGGAGCTGCTAAATTCCCAGTGGATTGAAGATCGTTCATTTGGTCGGGTCGGTTCAAATTTACATGCTATGTGATGGTAATGCGTCTGGAGCAAACTATGTAAGATCTTATTTTCCTCAGCTGGATTTGTTTTTCCATTTTCTAATCAAGTTACGGGGACAAACTGATCAGGAATCCTTGCAAACGTACAAGAAGATCCACGATGTTAGAGACAAGTCTACAGATTGCAAATACTCGGCCTACATGGTAAAGTTCACGAGTTTTTCGGGGGATGCCTTGCCAAGCGGCTGCGCCGCAAGCCCTAGCGTGCTCTAGGTATCATCTTGTTGCTAGGATCAAAGTCGGATCTCGGACCTTTCAGAGATTCAAACATTATGAATTTGAACATTAAATCATCGTTTTTACAGCTAAATCAAAGAAAATGATATGAAAAAAACTATCACGAGTCTGAACTATTCCGCTGCTCACTGCTCTTTAGCTGCTTCCACTTTTCTTTTTGAAGCTGCTGCCCCTGCTTGGTTTAAGAAATTTTTCGTCTTTAAGCTGCTCAATCTTTGCTGCTCGATCTTAGCTGTTTCAGCCTGCTCCCTTTCTCTCCAAGTTTTAAAATCATCTTACAGTTTTCCATTCCCACTTGCTCGATTCTTATGATCTCTGACGCTGGTTTTATCTTTCGCTGCTTCAAGTCCTGCTCCACCCTCATTTACATATTCTTCTGGCGGCCTCCTATGATCTGGACCAAGTTGGCAGTCAGACTATTTTCCAAATAGAAAAGAAACATAATCTCTCAACTCACAAGTTGGCCAGAATAAGCAGCTCCTTAGCGTAGTCTCTGAGATGTTTTATTTATTTAGTCTCGAAGAGACGGCCTCCAACGATCTGGACCAAGTTGGAGCTCAGAAGATATTCCACCAGAGGAGAAAATTAAAAAACAAAAAAATACCATAGGATTTGTTGCTGATACTAAAGGAGCTACCATCACAATTTGTGTGTCGCTGCAGCTTGCTTCTTCTGTTTAACAACACGGATGAAATGAATGGAAGAGGAAAAAACGAATGACTCTACGTACCCTCGGTCCACATTTCTCGATTGTAAAGGTGGCCATTGAACCTCTGAATCGCTTTGCACCAGCTTCCACGTTCCATGAAACTCGTCCGATCTTCTGTCTTTATGACTCTAGCTTCGTCTTAGAGTTCGCTCCAGCTCTTGTAGTCTCCGCATGTCAGGGGCGAACATCAGCCGTTTTTCAGTCTTTGTGAAGCCGAACCTCTGGCTCCGCCGCCACAAGCAGTTTCTTCGAGTTCGAGATCATCTTGCCATCATCATCTTCTATCATCCAAGCACCTGTAAGAGTGATCCTGGACAGCATTGAAGCTCTCGTCCCGTTTCCGTCAACTAGAGAGCTTTGTCTTTGATCCGTCTTGGCATCTCATCTTCTCCTTCATCTCGCTGTTCTCACGCCAACGTTTGATGGACTCTTCTCCACTCGGCTGGCTGACTGCTCCGATCTCGGCCACTGTCTCGGCGAGCTCCGCTTGAGAAGCCCAGATCTTGACAAAATTATCTGCTATCTCCCGATTGATCAAGATATCTCCGAAACTTTGGAGTCGAGGGAGGATATCTCCTCGAAGAGGTTGATCTTCTCTTGACTTAGAAGTGTGGAGACTGGTCTCTGGCGCTTTGGAGGCTTGCTACTGCTTCCCTGTGCTGCTCGAGCTGTCAGTACTTGGCTTGCACCTCTGTTCTGTATTTGACTCTCGAGAGCTGGTTACTTCTTGAACTTCCATTCTCGTTTCTTCGACGTGCTTAGAACCTCTGGCAGTTAGGGAATGCTTCCGCCACTTCAGGCCTTGATCGTGCTGAGAAGCTTGAGCGGAAGCATGCAAAAACACAGCTTCCTGCGAAGCCAGATGCTCCTTCTTGTCGCATGTAGCGTCCATCTGATCCGTCAAACCTCTGCTCTCACATCGGTTCTCCTCGGCTTGTCTTCTTCATCCTTCAGAGCTCCTCGCCCAAAGCTTTGCTTTGCATCTGGCACGTCTCTCTCTCCTCCAGCGCCTCGAGTCCCGTGATCCTCTCCATCAGCTGCCAGTTACTTGCTTCTCCAGCCTCGCCTTTGCGCTTCCAAACTCCGCCATCACGTGCTCTCGCCGAGAGCTCCACCTCGTGCAGCGGATTCGACTCCGTCAGCCATTATCCCCTGGGGCTTCTCCTTCAAGAACTCCTGTCCGAACACTTCCCTCATTCCACCAGATGACAGAGAACGTCTAGCGTAGTCTGTCTTATAGTCTCTGCAGCCATCCGAAACCCCAGTCACGAGGAGCTTCAGCTATATCGTCTTCTCGCCATCTTGCAGCCATCTGACACTGGTTTACGTCGTTCCTCGCTACTATCATGGACAGCCTTACCGCAGCAGGCGCTCCTGAATCATCTCCGTCCACTGGAAAGCCGAGAAGATAGATCCCTCCTTGCTCCAGACACTGTAGAGTGTAGCCCAACTTGATCCATTGATCTTCTCTTGACTTAGAAGAGTGTGGAGGCGGGCTAGCCTGTTTAGATGCCGAAGTTTGATGGACTCTGCTGCACTTCCAGCCGACTGCTCCGCCTGGAGCCTCGTCAACCGCTGCTTTCGACTCTCCATCTCGGCCACCATCTTCCGAAACTTTCAATTCCAGTCGTTGATCTTCCCTCGACTTAGAGTGTGGAGACTGGTCTTTAGCTCAGACTTGACGCTTTAGTGACCTGCTACTGTGGTGCTCGACTTGCTTGGATATTTGGCCACAGCTCCGAGTTTTCCCGCTCCAACTTTTGGATTTGATTTCCCTTGAAGCAATCTGACACTGAGTTCTTTGCTGATACTTTCATCCGAGCAGCTGTACGAGCATTCCTGGACAGCCCTGACCCGTTTTCAAAGTCTCTGTCAACTAGAGAGCTCTACCAGATGACAGAGAACGTCGAGTGTAGTCTGTCTTATAGTCTCTGCAGCCCTCTCTGTGAATCCGAATACCCCCACCGTCACGAGCAGCTTCAGCTGTATCATATTCTCGCCATCACCATCTCGTTGCAGTCGTTCCCTTGCTACTATTCCTTCAAGCTGTGAACATTATACCGCAGCAGTATCTCCTGTCTCATCTCCGTCGACTGGAAAGCTGATAAGATAGATCTCTCCTTGCTCCAGACACTGTAGAGTGTAGTCAAACTTGATCCATTGATCTTCTCTTGACTTAGAAGAGTGTGGAGGCTGGTCGCTGGCCTGTTTAGACGCCTGAAGTGTGATGGACTTCTCCGCCTGGAGCCCTGAGACACGGTTGTCACGCACTGCTTTCACGTCTTGGACAGTTGCAAATCTTTGGAGTCGAGTCCTCGAGAAGGTCGATCTTCTCTCGACTTAACTGGTCTATAGCTTTAGTGGCCTCCTCCTGTGCTGCTCAACTTGCTTGGAGATCCAACTTCTGGATTTGACTCTTGAGAGTTGGCTTCTCCGATGCTAGAGTCCGAGCACTGGCCTCCAGTTGACCAATCCTTGCAGCCAACTTCTCGAGCTCGGAGCCAACTTCATTTCTCGTTTCTTCAACGTGCTTAGAACAGTTTGCTCGTGTTCTCTTCTCAGGTAAACCCAGGGTCTAGTCGTCTTAGAGTTCGCTCCAGCCCGGCCGATCATCTTCTCGCCATCATGGTTCCGACAAAACAAACACTCATCGTTCACTTCAGCTCTCTACAACAAACACGGAAGTTATTAGCAAACGGCCATCTGGAATCTGGAAGGTATATCAAACTTACCTGTCTCCTCTTGAATTCGGCAACAAAATCTCTCCCCGCACGATCATATAGTTCTTTTGCCTCCTTCACGAAGACCACCTCGCCGGACTGAAGCTTCTTCCACGGTTTCCTCTCACTCGGGATCCTATCCAGCATTTTCTGGAGCCTCATCATCTTCCGCGCTCGCTTGATCCTCTCTCGGTCGCTGGATTTGCCGTTGAGCTCCTCGTAAAGCTGCTCGGTGAGTCTGATCAGAATCCGGAGCGCGCTAACACTCCAAGACTTTTCCTCGTGCTTCTCCTCTTCTGTTTCCTCGCGCTTTTCCTCTTCCAAGCTGCGGATCTTCTTCTCGGTTTTTCCCCTCTGGTTTAGCCACCGGTTTGCCTTGTGGAAAGCTTCGAGATACGCGAACTCAACATAGCCCCCTCGGCCATCGCTAAGATGGGTTTCACTCCGCCGTCGGGTGCCGTCGGGAAGAATGTCCTCCGCTGAGGAAGAGAAGCGAACCATCTTCGGCCTGGAACCTGCAAGTCCAGAAGGCCATCGTGAGTCACAGTAGAAGAAGAATGCGAGAAGCAAAAGGAACCATACCTGGACGACGACCCCCGGCTGGCAGTAGAATTGGCTTGGGTCGCTGCTCCTCCTGCTTGGGTTTGTCATTCTCCTGCTGCTTCATCTTCTCTTGATCGTCTTCCCGTTCCAGAGGCTGCTTGATCGGCTTGATCATCTGCTCCTCCTCTTGTTCCAGCTGCTGCTTCATCGGCTTCATCCGCTGCTCCTCCTCCTGTTCCTGCTCTTGCTTCATCGGCTTGATCGGCTTGATCGGCTGATTCGGCTGATTCTTCTCCTCTCGTTCCAGCTGCGGCTGCTCCTTGTGACCTTGCTCCTGTTTCACCTCGCGCCTGAGTTCCTTCGTCTCATGGGCTTCTTTCTCCTGCTCCTCCTCGCTCAGCTGCTCAGCTTTCTTCTCTTGCTCCTCCTCCTTCAGCTGCTTCTCGGCTTCCTTTTCCTCCTCTTGTTCCAGCTTCATCGGCTTCATCTGATCGGCTTCTTTCTCCTCCTCGTTCACCTGCTCGGCTGTCTTCTCTTCCTTCAGCTGCTCCGCTTTCTTCTCTTGATTCTCCTCTTCGTCCTCTTTCTCTTGTTCCGGCTTGATCGGCTTGATCGGCTCCTTGTGCCCTCGCTCCTGTCGTATCGCTTCTAAGACGATTTTCACCTCGTGCCTGAGTTCCTTCAACTTCAAGGCGGCGGCGTCCATGGCTTCTCCCGAGACGGCCTCACAGACACGATCTTGGACCTTCAGCTTCGAGGCCGCCGCGTCCATGGCTTCCGGGTGGACCTTGTTGTCGCCCTTGTGCGCCTTTTTTGGTCGAAAGAGAGACCACAAACCTGTGACGCATCCACTGCGCTCCTGCTCTGTTCGCGCCATAGCTTGCCCTTTGCAAAATGCCTTTAATGCCCTAACCCTTACTAAATCTATTTCACTTTAATGCGTTCGTTTACATTTCTCGGCAGTGACTTAGGCAGCGCCCTGGCTCTTGAAACTCAGGCACGCTGGAACCAGCTCACAGGCTGCATCCCAGAAGATGTTTACACACTCTCATCTCTCAATATCTAGACTTGAGTCTGGAACAAGTCCCTGGAGCTGGTTTCTAATGCTTCCAGCTTGAGAGTGCTGATCAAACCAGCTACTGGATACCATCTGACCTCAGTAAACTTTCCAGAAGAAAACAAAGAAACGAGATGGTAGCTATAGTAAGTACAGTCTTTATGTGCTTTCTTTGTTGGTGAATGTTTAGATGCTTACCCTAGATGTGCCATTCTTAACATGCAAACTTTTTGACATGACAAAACTTCAAGAGCATTGAATTCACAAGGTAAGTGCTCTCTATCATTCTCCTTAAAGCTTATGCTTTACGTCATGCAGGAAAATGCAAGTCAATTTTGGTCATGTTTGCTGTTGAGCTGCATCTTGTTACCAAGCACACATACTTCTGCCACCAATTTGCTTTTTGAAACTTTTGTATGACATTGAATTTAGCAGACACAAAACTTTTTATTTGTTCTTTTTTAGATACAACGTCCTATGAGTCCATTCTGAGTTCATCGTCAAGCTCAGGTGGTTCAGAGGAAGGAGGAGAAGCTGTTTTTAGTGATGGAGAGCATGTGGAGTTCGAGGACAATATTAGGGATGATGCTGTTGCTTATATGGTGGAAGAATCGTCATCAGATGGAGATCATTATGCAGAGAAACTTATGTAGAGAAACACTTGATACAATCCTTTCTACTAAGCAAAGAGCCCATTAGGTAAATTATACACTGTAAAATTGGGAAAATAAACAAATACCAATCATCCACTTTTGTAGCGCACTTGGTTTTTACCTCCTATCCTATGGTGATTTACCATAGGATAACACTATGAAGCGGAACCTAAACCCTCTATGTGCCAAGTGTTATATCCCATGTGTCACATGCCACGTGTCCAAATGACAGTGGTGTGGAACTTGAGGTTCAAGGCCTTGGGCCACTAAACGAAAGAACAAATCCCAAACTCCCAAACATTGGAGCCGAGTGACGGAACTGGACCACGAAGCAACTCCCAAGCATATAGCCCAAGGAGTGAAGAGACAGGAGCCTAGAGTGACTTGGAACAGTCCTAGAGCAACCAACATCCTAATGATAGGATCAACATGCAAAACGGAGCCAAACAGAGTTTAGTGTTATTTTGGCATATCGGTGGCCTAACGTAAAGACATGGGTACTTCACTAGCTAGCATGGTGTGGAACTTGGGCTTAGACCTAAGCCAAATGCAAAACAAGGATAGACATGTAAACAGGAGTTAAACTATGCCTCAGGTTGGTTGGCCATGCACGACCTACCCACTATCCCTATTATACATTTGAAACCCCATATAACCTCCCTTCCCCCACTTTGAGGAACACACACTTTGGGCTTTCACCCCAAGCCTCCCTTAGTACCAAAAGTTAGTCTCTAGAACAAGCTTGAAACTCACTAAATATGGAATGTTCTTAGATTGCAAATTTGAACACGAGATGAACATCATTGTGTTCATAAGAATCTCTACATTCCGTAGATATGCCAAATAAGTAAATTTGGACACTTTTTATAAATAGCATTTGGGACCAAAATGAGACTAACACAAAAGGTATGATAACAAGAGTGTTTGGCAAACACAATAAGTTATCATTTAGCAATATTGAGGGACCAAACTCAATATCGTGGGGGTTTTTAATACTAACAAGTACAAGCCAATGACACAAGTTTCTCAAACTAGGCTAAGTATGCTCAGCAAGAAACACATAAGGGTTCTTACCTTATATTTATCCAATCTAAGTGCATGGTTATTGACTAATTTCTCAACTAGCCCAAGTGGGAACTGATAACGGGTCCAACAATACTGACCTCCTGCTATCGTGGCAGTAAGGAAATTGTGTCCGTAAGAACTAGCTGACAAATAACTTTCGATACCCAAAGTCACATTCGTGACAACTTTATACTCCACATAACATTGCTATTATCTCATTTATATGTGGCAGAAGTGTTTAACAAACTTTGCTCCAAGTAGTGCAAGAATGGTCATCAAATATTAATCCCAAGTCCTAATATTATCAACCTATAGCAATCATAAAAGTAAACTCAACTCTATTAGCAATGTTAGATCATGACCATATATAATACTTTATATGGTAAAACACCCTATACCCTTATGATATACACATATTGAAGACATAAAAAATAACAATCCTATTAAAAATTCTTATACATTGTGATCATCCTTTTGAAGGTTTAATGAGCTATTTCACCAAATCATTCATTTGTGGATGATAAACACTTGTGAAAGTGTGATATATCCTTAGTTAAAATGTCAAAATATAAAATACCTCATCCATAAATGTAGAACTATTGTCTAAGAAAATCAGCTCTAGATAAGAATGCTAAAACACCACTCAATTAAAGAGAAAGCATTTAATACCAGTCATAGATGTACTAGCATTAGCACCAACTTCCACCCACCAAGTAAAGTAGTAAAAAGCAATAATAACACACTCATTGATAGTAATTGACTATGAAAAAGGCCCTATCAAATAAAATGCCACCAATTCAATATCAAACTACAATTAACTTTAATTATCTTACAACAATAAAGACAGTATTATAAGTTTAGTACCAAACTCAACTATGCCCATACCAAATAACATCATATCATATCTTTGACCAATAGAAAGATTTATATAACTTTTTAGTCATATGATGATATTTCATATACCTAACTTGAATAGAAGAGTTATTATGGGTGTGGAGAAAATATAGAATAAGGCACCACTAGCCTCAAATATGTATCAAAATTAGTCTTCACAAAGTAAAAATGGTCATCCTCAAGGTGATATTGAAAATATAACTATCAAAATAGCAAGTTATCAATAACTAATATAGAATTCCTAAACCACCCACAAATCCTTCAAATCCAAAGCTTATCCTTTTGAGTCTTACAAAAGTTCTAGATGTTGTAGACATTGAATATCAAACACAACAACTGATAGTGATACAAAATCTTTGTTTAAAAACTCTACTAATGTTGAAACAATAAACTTGTCACGAATATAAGAAGAGAGTAAAAAAAGGAGAGGAGGTCAAGAAAGAGTATTAGCATTACCTAGGGCGATAAACAACCTCAAAATTATATAGCTGAAAGTTTTAGATCCCACTAAGTTGTAAAACTAGCTATAACGCATCTTATCTCTCTCCCCTTAAGCCAACTAGAAAAGGGGCCATTAATTAATAAGAGAGCTTTTAGTGGCTATTTTATCTCTATTTATCCCCCAAGATTCCAAGGATCCACGGTGATAGTATATCCAAATCTCATTCCATAATCACATATGTTACACTCATCCCCCCTTCAAAGATGTTAATGTCCTCATTTACTATTGACTAATAACCCCTACTAAGCCAAGGGGAATTAACACTTCCATTTCTACACTGAATCTACTAATCCTTCCATTATATAGATTAGCTATTCCAAGGGAACCAACACCTCTATTTCCGTACTAAATTTACCAATCCTTCAATTGTGTAGATTAATTATTCCATGTGAGGCAACTAGTCATTCACTCGTACCGTAGTCCCACGGTGGATACTTTTGTTCATGGATGCTCTACCAAAAGGAAGGACGTACGCATGGATGCCCACTAATCAATAGGATTTGAACCCATGCCATTTGCTCCGATACCACACTATCTTTCTCCCATTAAACTAACTGGAAAAGGATGAAAGAGCCCTTAATGGTTATTTTATCCCCATTTATCCCCGAAGGTTCCAAGGATCAACGGTAACAGTATATTTAAATCTCATCCTATGATCACATGCGCTAAATTAGCAAAGTTCTTCCATGCTTTATTTCGTTAAAGTGAAACTTTTCATTATCCCACTTATGGTATGTGGCCACATGCCATTTTTATAACAACAATAAAAAATTGAAGTTTTAGCTTTATAATTTATAAATTAAAAACTTTTCATATGATTTTGTGTTATAATATTGTGAAATATAAAAAAATAAATTAAAAAACTGATAGAAATATTAATAAATATTAATTAAGTACTAGGAAATGGCATGTGGACACATGCTAATTAATGTCCCACTTTACTGAATAAGTCCCACTTTAACGAAATAAAGCATTTCCACTTTAATAATGAAAAGACTACAACATAATCATTTTTTAACAATGTCTAAAAACTATGCAAATATGTATAAATCTTTTTGAAACTTTTGTTATCATGGAGTAGTTCACCTTCATTGGTTGCAACGTATGGCTAATATACACAATAGAATTGTATTAACCAAACACAATCATACTCTCTTGCATCAACACACCTTTGAGGTAATATCAAAAAGCATCTACAAAAGGTTGAGTGTAGTCAAAATACTCAAAAACTAGAAAAGTTGTCAACACATCTTTGAGATCTGCGAATGCCTGTTCACAATCCCAAATTAGATGAAAAATAATATGAACAACTTCATTAATGCTTGCAATGATAAAAAAAGACAATAACATGAAAAAGATATTGCACCTTGCCAAGAAAGTGTTGCATATTGTTCACGCACTTTGGAGTAAAGAACTTCATAACATTTACAAGTTTGTCAGAATCAATTTGTAAATTTTCATGAAAAATATAATACTCAAGATATATGCATTTTAACCGTATCAATGTCAAACTAACTTCCTATAACTGATCCTAATGTTTTACAAAACACCACAAGTGTGTTCCTCCTATGGCCCCTTAAAGTGGATCAAGACATTATCAATGAAATTAATAGTCACTTTTAACATATTGTAAAGAATATCATCCAAAAAGTCTCTAAAGAATTATTCAATCTATACAGCATCACCAAAAATTCATATAAATTAAA